CTGACTATCATGAATTGTTAGCTAAATGCGATATAGCCCGACCCATCCTCCACTGCCATGCAGATGACAGCGGTTGGCCTTCGGGCGTCAGGACTTCCCGGTTACGGCAGGTATGAATCGACATAGCATTTTGTGGAATCCGTAAGGGCGAATTGGTATTACTTATGAGTATTACTTACTTACATACTTACTTATTACTTATGAGTAATACCAATTCGCCCGTACGGATTCCGCAAAATGCTATGTCGATTCATAGCTGCCGTAACCGGGAAGTCCTGACGCCCGAAGGCCAACCGCTGTCATCTGCATGGCAGGTGCCTGCATGGCAGTGGAGGATGGGTCGGGCTATATCGCATTTAGCTAACAATTCGTGATGGTCGGATACCGTCCTCCATGGCGCAGTTGCATAAGCTGCGGACTATAACAAAAACTAATAAATTGCCTTATATTCCAGCATCCCGTTGACCTACACTGAAATCAAAAAGTTAAATTCCAGACTTGGTTCCCCGCCGGTGGATGACGCAATTTGACAGTTCTACGTGCCGCTAGGCCCCTAAATGTCCCTAAATTTACCAACATCTTACGGTGACAGCTCTCCTAGATTTGCAGGTATTTATTGGTCCACCGAATCTTACTTGCTTGTAGTGATGCTTATTCTCGAACGGAATACAGAGGGAATTTCCTACTGTTCGTAAATCCACACGACTCGCGTTTCAGTGTGCTGGTCCACAGGAGTACGTCCTCTGAGGTTACCACGTTAAGTGCGATTCATAAAGTTTACGCTGCTTCTCCATAGTATTGCGAGTGAGCATGAATGTCTCCGGTCTACCGTTCCACTTCCGTCGGCTCGCGATTCAGCGACGAACTCGGAACAAGGAGATGACATCACTTACGTCGTCGCGTAAGCGAACATATAGCACTGCACGCTTTAATACATTATTCAGAGAGCGAAGACCTGTTACAAAACTGGGCAGACATTCTGGCATTTCGAGTCATGGTCGAACAAATATTCGAAGTGGTCAAACGATTGGTTTTCATCAAGACAGTGGCAGCGCTTTGCATAGTCACATCCCTGAGCAGAAAGCTACGTGTACTGCGTTATGGCTTGTGTGACTTTTTAACTTCCCCATTCACTCACGCAGACTAAGAGATACAGGCTTATGGTTCAAGGTGGGAGCGTGTAACGCAAAAGTGCGGTCGGTGGAACTAGTAAGGAGAAAAAGTGGTTACGATGCTGATCGTGCTGAGTTAGCGATATGTGCGAAGTGGTGAATATAGCTAGTTGGGGCAGTGAATGATTACTACGAAAGTAGGCTAGTTGCCATCTGGTAACAGGCTCTCAGGTGCCGTGCCGAGGCACACGGAGTATCGAATAGACAGTCAGCGGTAAAATTACCATGCAATCAGCAGGTTGGATTTCAGGATCGTACACCAGATAACCACACGACCTACACCATCTGATGAGACACCTGGAGCACCAATTTGGCTACGCCATCTGGCTATCTATGCGTCGCTCCATGGTCATTAAATCGTGGGTATCGAGATTGTACTGTGGCTAACCCCAATCTGACACCTGCGCCTACTGACTTGTGTTATCCACTGTTTTCCTAACCATGCCTACATGGTTTTATTCCAATCCCGCGGTTAGAAGTGATCATTCCCAAATTGTGTAACTCGCCAACTTGAGCCATTTCCCTGTAATATGGACACAGCTCGGGTTGTTCCTTTCATCTTACATTTGCCCCGAGGCACAGTACACCCACCACCCTCTATGCGTTGTACAGCGAACCAATTGGGTAGGGTTATCAGGCCCATTAAAAAAGCCGTTAGATTTCGCCCCAGGACTGTGTTATGTGATCTGGCTGTACGGTGGCAATTACAGCGATATGCAATCTTCAGGTACTTTATAAAGACCCCGGTTGTTTCGGTATTGAACGGGTACTGTTAAATACCTTAGTTCACTTCTCGAGTTTGTTTTGATTTGGACTCGGGGTATTTCACGCGTTACTCGAGACGCAAGCGATTTTATCGCTTACATAGACTACTCTGGCAAATTGTATCTAGAGTTCATCCCAGTAGCCGCCAAATGAGATGGAAAACCACACATCCGGAAAAGAATCAGACAGCCGTGCTGTCCTACTGGAACTCGTCTACAATGCACATCCTCTGGCTCCAGCAAAAAAGAGTGAATCAGCTTTGGACGTATCATTTTCCCGGATAAAGTCCACAGCGTGCGTCACAGAATTGGCTTGACACCCTATCGAATATAACAAGACCGCGCAGACAGTGATGCTTGTGAATAAATCGCATTGCTTCTGACTTGCAGCTACGTCAACCGACGATTAGCGCTTTCTTGCTTATTTATCACCCTTCTACATATTGATTCAACGATTACGTTAGCCGACACAGTTGCATTTCTAGCATATTGGTGCAAGGACCGAAGGTGAACAATTGAAATGAACCGAAAGAGTGCCGAATTTGCCACACGTGTGGCTAAATGCCAAGGCATTGTGGCTCACTGCATCAGGTGTACGAGGGTAGTTCAATAAAGATTTCTCCCGGCCAACTTCCAGTAGTCGTGCATGGTTAAAATTGGGCATACATACGGGTATTCTATCGAATTGCACCTCCATTCTTACAACTGTTTTCACAGGTTCTGATGTGATAAAAGGGTGCATTATGGAGTCAGTTGAATACAGATCAGTTATCAAGTATCTCAAAGGGTCACATATTAAGCTAAACATATAATGAAGTGAAAGACATAGCAATAGTGTACCACGATATGACATCGTTAAAATTGGCATCGCCAGTTTACATGTGGTACGACTTTAGTGGGGACAGTTTCTATTTCCGGAGGTGCCGTTTCTGCTACTGATGAGGACATCATCTACCAAGTGGAGACCGCCATTCCTCATGATCCTCGCGTAACTGCTCGCCAAAAGTGTCAGGATTGGTGTGGGGTACTTGGAAAACTCGATCCGTGATTATTTGAACATGCAAAATGTGTCATCACTATGGGTTCTACGGCTGTTCACACCATTTCAGAAGCAAGAAAGATTCGAACGTTTTCAGAATTTGGTGATCATATGATAGAAAAAGTAATTGTTAGCAAATTAATTACACAAGATGAAATACGACTATATCACTATGACCCAGAAAGCAAAGCGCAGTCAAAACAATGGAAACATGTTGATTCACCACATCCCACTAAAGCACGTGTGTTCACAGCCTTCAATCGGCAAGCGCATGCTCACAGTGCGCTGGGATCAGCATTGAGTAATAAGGATGGATTTTGCAAGTGTCAGTATTATCGGAGCATACTACGCTTCAACACCACATCAACTAAGGATGGCCGTGAAGAAAAAGAGAAACGTGGCATGCTAACGAGAGTTCCCTTGTTCCTCCAAGAATATGCTCTTGCTCATAACGAAAAAGTCGCGCAGACAGAAGCGTCGTCCTGTGAGTATAAAATACTTCATCATCCATCCGGGCCTTGTATTATATATATATATATATATATATATACATATATATACATATATCATATTTTTTCAAAATGAAGTCATTTCTGAGGGTAAAACATGTCCTTGACGATGAGACACTGATTTCTGAGGTAAAGTCAGGGCTTTTTGTGCAACATGAGGACTTCTGTAAACCTGGTCTGAAGGGGCCTGAAACATCGATACTGACGGGACAAAGCCTTGGTGTCGTGGAAGAGGATAAGCCCAACTGTAAACACGATCCCTAAACCTAAAGAAAGTTCGTTACTGGTGCGAAAATAACTCTAAGATTATGAACACGGTCACCATTCCCGCGATAAGTGAAACAACTTCAACGGTTACGCACTCGTTGTTAGTAATGCAGCTGGGCGAATCAATAGACTAGTTTCAGCTTTTTGCACCCAAGGACTGCAAGGCTAACAAGTACATGGCAGTCCTACAAGGCACTTCACACGATGTAGGAGAGAAACCCTTGGCAAATGATGGGATCACTTCTGAAAGATTAGCCAAGATTGACAGTGCTGCTTCGTGATTTACAAGGCAGCAAGCCGATGCCATCTGTATAATCTGGATCAACTAGGTCGAGTCCAGGCAGCTACTCAGAATTTGCATCGTGTGGTTACGCAGTGGGTCACCCCATAATGGAGTCCACGATACAATTGGTAAGATGAGGAAAAGTGATAACTCAAAGGGACTCTACCAGGCTCCAAGAAGACTACCGATAATGCGCGGTAGGTTCCCATGTGACGTAAGCATTTGAATATAGAGATCGTAAAATCTTCACATGTGCCATTAAAACCAAGTATACTAGAGAACAATCGACTTCACTTTTGAAAGTGAGTGGCATAGCCACATTTGATTTGTGGCAACTGTGATGCTACTCCGACACTAAAAGCAGCGGCTATATGTGAACCTTTTAGCCCCATTCAGCTAGGAAACAGCACATCCGTTCTATAGAAGGTAGTGGACCAGAATAACGGTTTGTAAGCTCGTAGCCTATTGCCTCCAGTTGATGCCTCTCTGGTTGAAATGTCATGTGACACTCTATCCTTGGACGGTGGCTGAATGGTCTCCGCGCCTGATTTGCAACCATAAGATCACCTGCTCGAATCAGCGTAGGTGTGCGCGTCATCGCGGTATACTCAGCCCGCGTGCGACTAGTGGTGGTCGCGCGGCAGCGAAGCGCCGTTACGGTGTACAGCTGACTCAGTATTAGATACCGCCACAATTGTGACTTGACCCACTAGGCTAGGAGACTTCCCTTCCTCCGTGTTGGCCAAAGGTCGGATAATTTTACAGGAACTCATCATTAATACAATGGGAGAAGTAACTTGCAATGGGGATTCTTAATCAAGGATAGGTGGATGACGTACAATTGGAAAATTTGCCCTCTGTTACAATATGATCTCGTAGTGCTTCACCTTAGCCTCGCTGATTTATGCAATACTAAGAGAACAATTGCGGCGTAAACACGATCGATGATCAGCCACCTTCACTCACCTGTCTTACTGAGCTCGATCAGTCGGTAAACGAGCGCGCAGTTGGAGGAGAACAAACTTGGTAGGATATACTGAAAGGAAGAATAAGATAGGGAAAAGAACATTGGATCACCACCGGACTCATGACTTCGAGCCTAGAAACTAAATGGCGTCAAATGTTTGACTTTCATGTCCTCTCTTGATGGCACCTGCTAGAACTGAGTTACAAAGCATTAAACGTGAGGAACATCGATTTCCTGGTAAAAGAATTGACCCACAGAGATTGAGCGAATAAATTAGTGATGAAACCAGCTGTATTGCTTGCGAAAAAATTGTTAGGTCTAATCGTGTGGATAGCTTACATAGACAGGTTCACAAGAACTTGCACAACCGATCGTGGTAGCAGCCGATCAGGGAAAACCATGGAAATAAGAAACATATGATGGGGTTCAATGCCTGCGATCAGGGTGTTAGCAGTGTGTTGACACAACCCTTCAGAGTAATCGGTAAAGTGATAGTGGATAAAAAGGTTGTGAAAAACTACGTCTTCTGCATAAGTAAAACGAAACACTTGCTCTGAAAGTTAAGCTGGGACAAAATTCAGTACTGCTAAGATGCACACAAGCTCGTGCCACTCAGGGAGAAGATGGTAATACATTATCTCATAATGTACTAAAAGCTAGCGGAAGTAAGCGACGCATGTTTTGGTCAAACGACTAGTGTGAACTAAATAAATAAATAGACGGTATATTCCTCGACAGTACGAGACACAGTTCAACTAAGAGGTCTGATCGATATGTCTAGCGAAATCGCATGTACCAGATAATTGTTCGTTATTTGTTACAATGGATACCAAACGGACTTTTGGAGCGATTGACGGGTTGACTGTATTAGAAGGATTGAGAAACTGGGAACAATAATAAATGCATATTTAGCCAAGTGTTCAGGTGAAGTAATAAGGTCATTAGTGAAATTAGATTGAAATAGCAGGTAGATGGAAAGCTCAAAATACCTGGCTGATGGCGGACCCGAAGGTGCTGTAGTCATTAATTGCCAGAGTGATAAGTGTCGAGAGCCAAATACATAGTAACTCTTCTTTCTCTGTTAAAAGCTTGGAACCGATGAGAGCGTATAACTCAGATACCTGGGGCAGGAGACAAAGAAACATGTTGAAATGTAGAGTTGTGGTTCATAAAAGACAAAGCTTGCGGAAAGATAGCTGATTTAGGAACTATCTGAACTGCGGCATTGAGCACAGAGTAGATTGGCCAGCCACGACCCAAGACTGGGGAAGATAGGAGTGCGAAAAAACGGATCCACAAATTACTAATGTTGGATGGATCAATAATCAAGCTTGTAGGGCCTAATGCACCTGAAGCTTAACAAGTCAGTCTAAAAACAGTCGGATGGGCAACCCAGACGTCCCAAACGATACAACTCCGTCGTTTGCTAAGGAAACATGAATGAGATGGCAACAGCAATGATATAAAATCAAAACCTTGCAATCAAGTGACATGAAATTGCCTCATAAAATAAAGGAAATAGATTGTCTTCAGAACTGGGATTTCATTGTACGGGTGTTGTGCGATGTTATTTGGTACGCAGGCAGTTTGTCGCATGTTGACGATCTTAGTGATTACACATGCACATCCGGAACGTTACCCGAACGCTGACTTCGACGCTCCGGGAACAATGGCACTTTTCCCTCCCTAGCTATCCATTCTTGGGTGCCCGTTAGCCTAACGAGATTGCAAATTTCGGCAATAAACGTATACATCTCCCATTTTTATTTGACTTTTTACTTTTCCCTAACGGTCGGTTGTTTGGGTGGATTTAGCGTCCGACTATCGATTGCGCTATACTTGGTGACCCTGACTGTAAACATTCGCGGTAAGTCAGTTAGGAACCTTTGTCCAGATTTGGCCATATATTCTGTTTGTTTTTGCTATCTTTCATTTTTTGACTAGTGGGCTTATTTTCACTAACAGTGCATAGTTTTCGCTGCGGGCGTTAATCCCATAGAGCCAGACGCCACTGTCAGTGGGGTAACAATTTCGATTTTCCCTTTTTGCAACCGTAATCCGAAAAACTGACTCGATCGTTCAATTGTAACGTTCTCCACAGGTTGTCGATAACATTCCAGAGCCTCTCGAATTTCAGAAGACTTTCAGGAAATCAAGCTTGCAGTATTAAAGTTGATCGGTGTGTCAGACCTCGATGCGTCATGAAGTAACAGCGAAACCGATCTGGTTGATCTGAAACCATCTGTTTCTGCGCAAGACGTAGTGTTTAGTTCAACTGGCCAATGTTGACGGATCAGTTCTCAAATAAATGTGGCTTCGCTGCCTCTCACGTGAGATGTGCAACGTGCTCTACGTTAATGTAGGTGCGTCAATATTTCAGCTAGCTGACACGACTGACCGCATATGGGAATCACGCACATGTAGTCAAGCCCGAAAGACAACGTGACGCAACTAGCATCAGTTGTAGCTAGGCTAAGCAAGCGTCTCGACGAAACAGTAGCATCAGAGAATGCTGGAAAGTAATGTTCTAGGAGCCGATTCAGTTAGTCACGTTCCAAATCTCCCTAGAGGTCTCTGGCTAAGAAAACTACCCATTGCTGGTAACAGATTATTTGTTGAAAACATCAGATGCTGTCGCCCAACCTGGTTTCTCTTGCAAATCGCATGGAAACGGGCCGGCCGGCACGTAGGGGTGACGGACTTAGCAGGTCGCCAGTCACCTCTGCTCTATCACCGATGGAGAAACAGAAGTTCGCTACTTGGTGGACACTGATGCCAAAGTTAGCGTCCTTCCTCGCGATAAGAGATTCGAACGATAAGGAAATTAGTTCACGGTGCACAGCCAACGGAACCATCATACAAGTACATGGTCAACGTTCGCGCACGCTTAACTTAAGGCCGCGGCGTTCAGTTAAGTAGATTTTCCTTGTCGCGGATGTTCAGACGCTAATTCTTGGCTTTGACCTCCTCCAAGATTTCGACTTGCTGTTAGACACGAAGCACCGTCGTGGGCATTTTGACGGACACTGAGTCAATCAGTCCTGTATACGCCAAACAGTCGAGATCAGCTACTGGACAGATGCATCACAGCAATTTCCAGCGAGTATTCCGTGCACCAGAAACCGCGTCCATTCGCTACTGGTGCTGCATAGCATCCCATGATTACCAAAGGTCCATCTGTATTCCCTAAAGCCAGGCGAATGAAACAAGATGAAGATTGACCGCTCATAATTCGAGCATATGGTTGAGCTAGGCAATGTTCGCTCGTACATGTCGCCGCTTCACATAGTGCCCAACAAGTCAAGAAACTGACGTCCAGGCAGAAACTACTACGCGCTTAATAACGTAGTGGTCCCCGACTGTCATCCTACTCCTCACATGCAAGACATCACAGCTAGCTTACATGTGTGGTCCCGAAAATCGATCCGGTTTTCACTTATCACTAGATCCCAGTCGTCGGGGAAGACACAGCGAAGACCGATGTAATTACGCCGTTGGGGCTCGTCAAATTTTTGTGCATACCGTTCAGCCTACGTAACGCACCTCAGGTCATCCAAGGATAGGTAGATTCCGTCACTAGAGATCTCGATTTCGAATATTCTTAGATCCACGATATTCTAGCGGCAAGCGCTTCCGAATAGCACGCGGAGCACCTCAAAATCAATTCTGGTAGGTTGGCCGCTACTAGCATCATTGTCAATGCCGACAAATGCGTCTCAGCTGCCGCCTGTCCAAGTTCTTGGACCACATATTGATCAGCATAGCATACGGCCTCTAGATGATAGAGTTCGCGCAACTAGAGACTTTCCAGTCCCGACTACTGTAGCCGCTATTCGCTGTATCAAATACTATCGACGTTTGCCCATCTTTTGCTGGGGACACTTATAACCGGCGGAAGTCAAGTACAACACGTTTAGCCGCGAACTGCTGGCTGTCTATACTAATGTTTTACAGTTCCGGAATATCCTTGAAGGCGACATTTTTATTATCTGCCCCGACCTGTCTGGGCCAGACAGGAAGAAAGCTCGGCACTAGGCTACATGAGCATAGCCTAGCCATCCGCCGACATGACCAGAACTCCCTGATGTCGGTACATATGGACGCCGAGAATCACCAGTTTGATTTGGAGAACGCTGAATCATAGGCAGGGCAAAAACTCGAAAAGCACGCGAGTTTATCGAGGCTTGGTACTCGGGAAAGAACTCAATCAACCGACACTTAGATCTTGATACTGCCTATGAAGCACTGAGGGTTAAAACAATACTTCGCCCCAGATCAAAGGGACAAAAGAACATCATTGAGGCGGATTCTAGCTAGTAGTACGCAAGAGTTGACTACACGGTCAGCTCACGTAGACAAATAGACTCCTGACGTTCGAATCAAGTGATCAATGTATGTATGTATGTAACCTCAACAGTCTATTAACTAGACATAGAGCCAGAATAAAGCCATGGAAATCAGGAGATAAGCAAGAATCATCGCGTCATAATCATCGTCACATGCTAGTTGAAGGTGAGCAATACACTTCAACTAATATGCCGCAGGAAGATTGGAACATTTTGACAAAAAGTAGAACAAAACATTTTAGTTTGTTTTTCACACGCCGATTTCGCTCTTTTTTGTCAGTTTAATGTTTGTAGCATTAAACATGTGAGTCAATACAATACTGTACACAATCCTTCCACTGATTCCGGTTGCGGGCCATGTCTTCAAGAGTGTTAAGCCATTGGCACTCCTCATCTTTGGGTCCCCATCCTGGAAGACGTACGGATCCAACAGCGGCTAGACATGACGTCAGCGATTTCATGTGCTGCCGCCATGTAGAAGGCTGACCACCACGCGGTCGCCTCCAGCCAGGTCCTTGACGAGCGAATATAGCGCGACGCGGTAGACGCTCAGGTGCCATGCGTAGGACGTGACCGAGCCATCTCAACTGGCGCAACAAAACCAGTTTGTTGAAGGGAATACTCGCATTCCCCAAGATGCGACGTCGAACGTCATTATTATTAACTCGATGTTGCCACAAGTGATCAATAATCACTTGGATCTGCAAGTGGCTCGCATAAGTCGCACCGATGATGTCGTCTAGTCTGACGATGAAACGTCTGCAACCAAATCAACCAGCTCGGAGAACACCCGCATACCCTCATCCGCATCCCGAGCTACAAATATTCTCACGGATTTCTATAAGACAAGCTCTCTACCTTTAGGATAGGGCCTACAAAATAATAATCAAGTTGGTGAACAACTGACATATGAAAACAGTGTCGTGTACGTATCACGTCATCATTATTGCACACGTTAGCTAAAAGTGGAAAATACCTCACCTATTGTGTCGCAACATATAGGAAAATGAAAAAAAACATCCAGCAGAGGGGCGCCACATGAATCATTAGTAGCCGACGGACATCGTTCCGGAGAGCTACTAGCCGGCTATTGTGGAGCAAAAAATTACATTATGCCTAGGAAACAAGATCCGGATTAGAAGGGGAGGCAAGCGGGAGGGGGAGGGACAAACTCACAACACAAACCCCATTGCGGTCGGTTACTAGCCATGTCAACAAGTGTATCCAGTCAAAAGTCTTCATCGTCCTTCGGTCCCCAACCAGGGAGCCGAGAGACTCCAATCGAGGCCAAGTTCGAACTAAGGGCATTCATTCCTCTTGATCAATTCATTGGGTGGCCTCCTCTCCTCTTCTTCCATCCCAAACCCCGGCGCGAAAACAACGCACGTCGCGGGAGTCAGTGTGTTGGCATGCACAACATGTGATCCAGCCCTCGGAGCCCGGTGTGTGAAATAACGGTGCTGAGCGGTTCACACCCTCTTCCTGTGCCATAAACAAGACGTTAAACATGCTTAGTGCTCACACGGTGTTCCCACCGGATGTGAGTCAAACTGCGAAGGCGCCGGTGGTCGAACGTGACTAGGCTCTTTATGTCTACCAATCTAAGGGACCAACTTTCATAACCGTACAGTGGGGTTGAACGTACGGCTGCATTGTAAACTCTAACCTTCAGGGAAAGAGTGATGTCACGAATGCGCCATAGGTGGCAAAGGTTAGCAAAGGCGTTTCGAGATTTTGCTGTACGGTTCCTGACCCCATCTTCCATTCCATCGGCGCTGATACAACAACCAGCGTGGTTGAATTTCTGAACGCCTTCTAACTGAACCCCACCAAGGGTCAGAGCAGTAGGTCCTTGCCAACCTTGGAGGAAAGCTTTGCATTTCGTTGGCGCAAAGCAAAGCAAGAAACCATTGACAACCAGTGTTAATCTGTCCAGTACAGCTTGCCACGAATGTGAGCTGCGAAATATGAGGGCAATGGCGTCAGCATACAACAAGTTAAGAGATCGTTCACCCAGGAGCACCTCCACACCTTCTAAGTCGTGTCCAGTGAACGCGAACTACATAACTTCGTCAACAACAAAGTTGAAAAGGAAAGGTGACAGCAAGCATCTTGGCAGTACACTGTGGGTTATTGAAGGACGGCGAAGGCTTGCCGTAAGCCATCACTCTGCCCGAGCTACGTGATCGGATAATATTTACATATTTCTCAGGCAAACCTTTCCTGAGTATGCAGTCCAAAAAAGCACATCGATCAACCGAATCGAAAGCACCTTTGATGTCGACGAGCACGACTACTTAGGATGGTCAATATATATGGCGGCGCTTCAACAATGTAACGTACAGATGTCAACACAGCCGCGACTTTGACGAAACCCCGTTTGCTCCTCACGAATCTGGCTTCCACGAGTAGGTCAATTTGTGAAGTCTGACAGAGGCAGGCAACTTGGAGGAGATAGAAATCAGACTGATTCCTCTATGGGTGCCGCATTCCGAAAGTGAGGCTTCCTTGAAGATGGGGAGAATAACGAGCGGGTAAGATCGATTAGGATAATTTCCTGCTCTCACAGTTTCAGTAATAACTTGTCATCTGGTTCCGCAGCCTAGCTCAGCTTCAGCAGTTCGATCTCATGTTCGACTTCTGAGCGAGATGGCGGATCCAAGGGGATAGCCCAATGAGCAAGGCGATCATTGGCCGGTGAAGAATCTAACAATCTCGGCCGATTAAATTGCCTTTCAGTGCTCAGCCCAACGCTACAAGCGTTTTGTTGGGTTGTGGATAGCCTGTCCACTTTCGTCACACATAGTTTTACCAACACCAAGTCTCCTGCTGCCCATTTCCCGTATCAGACGGAATAATTTATGATGGATATCACCGGCGGTGGCCGTTTGCATCTCAGACACACGATGAGACCACCAGGTTTCGCGGTCTCCCTTTAGGCTAGCACGGAGTTTTGCCCTCAGGCCTTTGCGTGTCTTGTTGTGTTCGCTTCCAGCTGGAATGTGCCGGCGAGCGTCGATAAGTTCCAGAGACTGCGAAGAGACCCAATGTCCAGGTTGGCTATTTGATTTATCATATGAGGATTTAACTGATGCTAGTGAGGTCTGGTGAACATGCGACCAGTGATCTTCAGTCGTATTCAGTGAGCGCTTGCTCAACCCGAATGCCAGCGTACTTCAATACGCGTTCAGAACATCGGCTTTCGTCAGTTGACTGCTGTTCATGCGCTCAAAGCGTCCGTCAAAACGCTACCGCAGATCAGCTCATACAAGTGCAAGGTCAGTGTCAAGGGACGTGTTCCAAATCGAGCGACAGTTTTTGACGCAGACTCCAGCGCTAACTGATCGCAATGTGATCGATTCGCGTCCATAGCTGTTCCAAGACTGGTGGGTGCCATGTCACTATCCGGCGGATATTTAGTCAAAAGGTAGTGCTCGCAAGAAATGAAGGAATCGCTCACCGTTATCATTGAGAGAGCCTACGTCATTATGACCGCCCAGATGAAGCTCAATAGCGAACAATTTTCTAACTTCAGCGTTTATATCCTCAAGCAGGACTACAGTGTCCGTGTTTCTTCTGTGACGAAGAAGCCCGTTCAGTTGGCGACAGAAGTCGTCTTTCACCGAGTTAGCGTTACAGTTTGTGGACACGTAGGTAGAGATGACAAACAGACAACTATTATTCCCGCGCCACTTAGAAGCTTCGAACGAACAAGTCAGTTGGACTGCACAAATCCAGCCACTGATTAGGATCAAATCAATCAGCCTAGTTTCAGCCCGCGGACTCAGGGCAATACCAACACCGGCTTGGCAGGCATCCGAGCTGCATCGTCTCCGGATAGACGCAATGAGAAAGTATTGTTAGTGTCCGCAGAAAGTGAACGCAGAGTGAGCACAGAGATGGAGTCTCGAAGGCAAATTTTCGGTAAACAGCAGATATCGATCGGGAGGGTCTCTAATATTCGGGCAAGTGCTGCCTGTCGACTGATCTGTAACAATGTGCGTACATTGAAGTATGTCAATAGGAGGTAGAACCGAGGGCTCCAAATAGAAGCCGACGTACGGGGCTTGTCCGCTTGGTTGGACATGTGCATGTCGACAGGGCAGGAGTGATGCGCGTTTGCATGTGAGCTGATACTAGAAAATAAACGCCTATCAAAGCAAAGTGAAGGTGGGCCAAGAATTGGCGGGGGAGGGGGCTGAAAACGTGCGGGATAAAAATGAAGTTGTAACGTGACAATACAGGTGAAAAAACTTAAGAGGGGAATAAGAAAACGGGAAGGCTTTAGCAGTAGCATCCAATTCCCTATCCACCCAGCACGATGCAGCAGATAGGGCGCCGTTGATTATCCTCTGCGACGGCCAGAGCATCAAGAAATGGTTTGAGAGTAAAGTCATTGTATTGCGTGGACAAAATACTGTCAGTTTGCAAGGCGGGGACAGGAGAACGATTAAGGTTCACAACGAAAGCCTTCGGTTCAAAAACTTGACCGCAAGGTAGTGGGCTACATGCAGTCCGTTTTAGAGAATAAGGAGCCCATCACTCTAACCCCAAATCTAGAGGACTAGGAGACTGAGTTTATCTGACCTCTAGCCATTGACTAATCTGGTATGTGCGACCCTGAAGACGCGAAAAGCACCACCCAGCACAGCTTAATGGATCGCAAAACGGTAAGGTCCAGACTCATTGCGATGGATCTAGTACGCTAACACTCAGGTCTGGAGAGTCGCGGTGCTGCATTCTCCCAACTATGCAGCACCGAAACTCACTACTTCGGATGCGGTCCCTGTGATTTAAATAAAAGATATACTTCAAACTATATCGTAGTCTCAATGAAGACTGCTTGTCACGATCTAGACACGCGGTGGGTATTCTAAAACCCAACAACACGCATACAAATTTTTAATTCTAGGAAAGGTGAGCGTGGAGTACAAAGTATGGGGTCACAGAAACAGAAGCGCATAAGGGGGCGTTGAAAGGGTAGGAGACGTACGTGCATCGAAAGACTGGGATCCATAGCACAGTATAGCAAGGATGAAGCTACACATGCTAACTGATGGGCCGTATCTTGCTCCTTCGCGTGGGAATCCCACAATAGGAAAGGCAACAGATTTGAAACAGAGCATGGGGTGCATTGAAACAAGGCTGTGACGATTCGCAGGATGACAGACAAAGTCCCACGGGAGAGCCAAGTGGCAGAAGTAACTTGGCGAAACAAGCTCATAACCGCCTCGCACAAGCAAATCGAATTGCAATCTTAATACAAAAGGTGATTAGCTGACGGGAAACAACAATGTATTACCTTCACATAAGATGAAATGAGTTTGCATGAGATTATCGATCGTGTCCAAGCAGGAATGACGAACCACCTGGAAACGTAGTCGCAAAGTAAGGTTGGCTCACAGAAAAAAGCGACCCCTTCATTTCCAGACAGAATTCAAGCAATGTCCATACGGGTGTATCAAGCAACCCCGCCGAGGAGCAGAGTGATTGTAAAAAGTTGTAGCTAGAATGAACGCTTAAACTCCTGTTGGATTTGCCGTAAGTAGGAAATGGCCACCGTACCTGCAGCAGGCACTCCAAGACTGCCCTATCTTAGATAGCAATATCAATGGTGTCGATTCCAAAGCGCTGTAACTGCTTTTTGAGTCATCACCGACAATCGAAAAGGCAAAAGAAAGGATTTGGCGCAAAACTGTCTCGGATAAATATCCAGTAGAAGGCCGGATATGATCTTGAAGTTGACCGATAAGAGCCAGTAGGAAGGCCAGCTGAGGAGTGCGCTGCTTATCATCAAGGAAGAGTCGTTCGGTAAAAGTGAAATAAGCCGACGTCGGTAGACAAGCCGAGGCAACGGGTGGTAGAGTGATCAGCGAGAGGACTACATCAAGAAGCTGGTCACCCCATTGCAGACGCAGAATTTGGACAAGCAACGTAAAACCAGCCGTTAAACAATCGACAGATGAAATATCTGAAAGTATTTCAATTTTGCTAGAGTAGAATGGCAAACAAGTTACTTGAAACAAAGACGAAAGTTTCGAAGAGCTCTTCCAGAGATCTACAAAGTTTGTCCCCGCAAGATGCTTTAGACAAGCAGTGGCTCATTAACTGTAGGCACAGACAAACATCGTGAAAAGTCTGTGATTCGTCTGGAAGGCAACTTTAGAATAGAATCATTTAGAATTAGGAATATATCACAAAACTCACTGTTCCAATGATCGAAGTTCTTTGACCAAGTGACCCATGACTTCAGTAAATGGATAAAATAACAAAAATCAACAAAACTCACTGATCAAATAGTCGTCAGGACCAAGGTCCAAAGCTAGCGACAAATGTCAAGTAAGTGTTGACAGATACCTGAGCTCCTACGAATTAGCCTATCCAACAACGACAATCGTAAGCGTACGCCAGCCAGCGCCGAGCATATTTTAAGAACCAAGTCACACGGACTGGTTTCCACCTCAGACAGTCTTACCACATGAAGTTAGAAGAGAAAAGTTACGTTAAAATAGATAGAGGATGATGTAAGCCGTTTGATGAAAGAAAACTGTCAATTTCATTCGTTAATCTCTTGTAAGGTTCAATAGGCATTTCACTGAGCTACGCAATTAGCACGAAATCGTCTAAAAAAGAAAATAAGTGGACAGTGAAACAAAAAGATTGAGTTTTAATATGACTTTACACAGTAATATGTACACGTAATACGTTAGCTGAATGTGAGAAACACTTCAGCTACTGTGCCACAATACAAAAACACAAGATTTATGACAAGGCAAGATGAAGAGCATGGCAAGATACTATACATATATAATGATATAAATGGGAAAATCAGGCTGATGTTCACAGTAACATATAACGCACCACGCGCGGAAAAGTGGTGTGATGTGGAAAAAAGCGCGAGGAGGAGGAGAAGCATAGAAACTCACAATACGAACACCATTGAGGTTGGCTCTTCGCCATTTCAACAACCGTACACAAGAAGTTGTGTTTCGCGCTTTTCGGACCCGAACAAGGGAGCCGAGAAGCTCCAAGCGGGGCCAACTTAAAACTATGGGCCTTGTAATAGAAGATTACATAAAAAGGCTAATGAAAAGCTCAGTCAGCTGGAAAAACAGTTAATCCGAAGTTCGGTTATTAAGACGTGTCCAAAACTAGCCGTATGCCTCGACAGGAAACGAAATCGGAATCAGCAAGGATTCCGGTCACCGAACACTGAGCAACAACGCCGATCAATCACGACGAACGCATGCGCAATGAACCGAAGCGAGAAAGCGGAACGAAATTAGAAGAAGCATATGTCGGTTCAAATAATTAGAACAAGTGTACAATAAATAGTGGAAGATGAAACAAGAAAGTAAAATTAAAAAGTGTTGAAGTTTATAGGCCTAAATCCCCCCCCCCATGAAGATGTTTGCTCGATAGATGCTGTCTGACGTGAGTAGCTAGTTTAGAAGGAAGAATAAATGCAGGTCCGAAACGTATGTGTTTTGTGTGCCTGAGTTTGTGAGTGGGTGGGTTGGGGTGAAAGGAAACATTGAAGCCACACATCGGTTGGGTGAGTGGAGTGCTCTGCGGTGGAGCTTGTTCCGCGTCAGCAGTGTCGAGAGTCTGTTGCGGTGACTAGGATTCCACGTGGGCTCGTTTAGGCCATCAATACTGGCCGAGTTTTCAGAACCATTTCTGTTCAATACGAAATACTTCTCTCTGCAGGTGATGATTCTGAAAGGGCTTTCGTAAGGTCGTGTCAAAGGCTTGCAAACCGCATCGACGCGCACGAAAACGAAGGGGCACGTGTACAAGTCGGGGTGAACGTGTTGGCCTCGAGAAGTGAACCGTGGTGGCATTGGACGAATGGTGCTGATGTATCGTTTAAACCGTGCAACACGTGAAGTAGGATCGACTTCGCCGGTGATCTTGGAAGCCAGTGCTAATTCTTCGAGAAGCCTAAGCGTCGTAGCAGACTAATTCAGCGAGACAATAATCGATATCTTCCATTACAATGTTGCGAATACCAAGGAGAATGATCGGTAAACGCTGGGAGCATTGGATATTCGATTGCGTTGCAGTAAATGCGGCCTTGAGTTGGCGGTGAAAACGCTCGACTAAACCGTTAGCAACCGGGTGATATTCTATCATGCGTCAATGAGAACAGCGGAGCATGCGGTTTTCCCGAAACAGCGGGGAATTAAACTGGGGTCCTCTATCCGTGGTGATAGTGGCGAGCGTGCCAAAGACGGATATACAAGTTTGGATGAAAGTTTGTGCCACGGTTTCGGCTGAAACAACTCGCAGCGGCACGGCGTGTGGCCACCCTGTGGAACGGTCGAAATATGTCGACACGTAAGTAAAACCACTGGATAGCAGTAGAGGTCCAACGATGTCGATATGGACATGCTTGAATCGAGCGTCGGGCAGCGAAAAGGTTCCAAAAACAGTAATCGTGTGGAGATGTATCTTGCTATTCCGGCAAGTAATACAGTGTTTCGCCCACTGATGGATATCAGAACGCATGTTGGGCCAGATGTAGCGATCTGTGATCAGCTTCATAGTGGCGCGGATGCTCAGATGGAAAATTCAATCCAAGTGGTCAACACACAAGTTGCCGATACTGATACGGAACAAAAGGTCGAGGCTTTCTAGTGGATATATCACAGTAAATTCGAGTCCGAGTCGGGAACAGTCAGCTGAGAAATTTTAATAGAGGGACTCAATTTCAACTGCTCAAACTCAGGACCTGTTTCGTGATGGGCAGCGATGTCTTCTGAGCTGAATGCTTGGCGCGAAACCTCGTGAAGACCAATGCGGGACATAGCGTCCGCAGCAACATTGTGACCTGCAGCAATGTGTCAAATGTCGGTGGTAAACAGTGATATGTAATCAAACTGACGAGTTTCTCGAGGTGAGAAGCTATCAGAGGAACCACGAAAAGCAAAAATAAGGGGCTTATAATAGGTAAGCATGGTAAATGCACGTTCTTCGAGCAAATGGCGAAAGTGGTCAACGGCGAGAATAATGGCTCAGAGTTCTCGATCGGAAGTACTGTATCGAGTCTAAGGAGGTTGTAGCTTTCGAGAGAAGAGGGAGGCACAGGATGACCGTCAATGACCAGTTGGAAATCGGCACCAGTAGCAGTTTGGGATGCATCGATTTGGAGAACCAAGGATGTGTGGACAACGGTTCTCAAGTGACTGAGCAAAGTAGCGTTGGAAAGCGCGTGTTTGATCCTGTTGAATGCTGGTATGGCTTCCGAAATTGGTTGAAACGCGTTACTTGTCTTTGAGCAGATCTGTCAACGGCTGAAGTAGCCTAGAGCATTCTGGAACGAAGTGGTATGCCAAGAAAACGGTGAATGATTGAGGCATCTGATAGTTTGCGATGGCTCGTGTCTTTTCAGGAAGCGGGTTAATACCATCGTCATCCATTCGGTGGCCAAGAAAGTCCACTGGCCAAAAAGACACTTAGCGGCGTTGATCGTGACGCCAAATTGGGCGACAGGCTCGAAAGTTAAGCGAAGAGGAGACAAATGTTCTCCATGATTCGAGCATGATACAAGTATATCGTCAATGTATGCGAAGACGAAACCAAGACCTCTAAGGACTTGGTCGATAAATAGCTGAAATGCCTGCGAGCGGTTTCGCAGACCGAAATGCATTCGGACGAATTTGCTAGAGACCAAAGGGTGTAATTATCGCCGTTTTAGGTATGTAATCCGGAGCGACAGGGATTTGGTAGTAGGCCCGGACAAGATCAACACTGGAAAAAATGGTTTTGCCATGTAAACCGATGGAGAACTCATGAATATGCGGGATCGGGTGCCTGTCCGATACGGTAACGTTGTTCAGTACACAGTAGTCTCCGTTTGGTCGCCAGTCCCCGCTCGACTTCTTTGTGCTGACATCTGGTCTGAGTAAGCGCCCACTAAGCACCGTCGAAGATCACTGGTCGCATATTCGTAAAACGTTACTGTTAGCAGGCATGTCTTCATGTGGCAATGCAAATTGCGAAACCGGACATTGGGTCTCTACACAGTCTCTGGAATTTATGGATTGTCGCCGACGTATTCCGGCTGGAAGCGAATACAATGAGACTCGCAACAATCTCAGGACAAAACTACGTGCTAGCCTGAAGAAAGACCGCGAAACCTGGTGGTCTCACCATGCCTCTGAAATGGAAACAGCCGCTACCGTTGGCAATTATCGTAAGTTATTCCGTCTGATACGGGAAACAGGCAACAGGAGACCTGGTCTTAGCGAGACCATACGCGACGAAATTGGGCAGCCCATCCACAGCCTGTCAAAACGCTTGGAGCGTTGGGCTGAACATTTTGCAAGGCAATTTAACCAATCTGAGTTATCGGCTTCTTTTTCGGGCATTGACCACCCTTCTCCCTGGGCCGTCTCTTTGGATCCGCCCTCACGCGCAGAATTCGAACGTGATATCAGGCTGTTGAAATTGCATAAGGTCGCAAGGGCAGATAGAATTCCCCCAGCCCTCTTCAAATTCGATGGACCTGCTCTAATAGATGATTTACACGAGTTGCTATTTAAATTTTGGGAGCAGGAAACTGTCCCGACAGACTGGAACCGCTCCGTCATTGTCCCAATTTTCAAGGGAAACTCCCGTTTGGAATGCGACAGTTATAGAGGTATAAATCTGATTTCGATTGCCTCTAAATTGCTTGCTTTTTCCATTCTCCACAGACTGACTGGCACTCGTGAAAGCCAGATTCGTGAAGAGCAAGCCGGATTTCGTCGAGGTCGGGGCTGCATCGACCGCATCTTCACCTTGCGTCAATTGATGGAGCACCGCCATGTTTATTTGCGACCCACCGTTGTCGTATTTCTTGACATAAAAGGTGCCTTCGACTCAGTCGATCGACATGCGCTTTGGGACTGTTTGCTGAGGAAGGGTGTGCCTGATAAATATGTAAACATTATCAAAGCGCTGTACGCACCTAGGTCGGGGCAGAGTGAGGGTTTATGGCAAACTATCGCCACCCTTCAGTATCACCAGCGGTGTGAGACAAGGTTGCCCGCTGTCACCTTTTCTCTTTAACTTCGCTATTGATGAAGTTTGCTGGACACGACCTAGAAGGTGTGGAGCTACTTCCTGGTGAACGACTTCTTGACTTGGAGTATGCGGACGATATTGCCCTAATCTGTGACAGCTCACAAACATGCCAAGCAGCACTGGACCGATTAGCACTGGCTGTCAATCGTTTTGGGCTATGCTTTGCTCCATCGAAATGCAAAGTACTTCTCCAACATTGGCAGGGACCCAACCCTGCGCTAACACTTTGTGGTGATCTGCTAGAAGTCGTTCAGGAATTCAAGTACCTGGGCAGCTATATTAGCACTCGTGGGATTGAAGATGAGGTTACGAACCGTATAGCAAAAGCTCGAGGTGCTTTTGCCAATCTCCGTCACCTGTGGCGCAGACGCGACATTACTGTCGCCCTGAAGGGGAGAGTTTATAACGCAGCCGTCCGTTCAACTCTCCTATATGGTTGTGAAACGTGGCCCATCAGGTCGACAGACATAAAGAGGCTCCTCTTATACGATCATCGCTGCCTTCGCAGCTTAGCTCATGTCTGGTGGGAGCACCGCGTGAGTAATGAGCGTGTTCGGCGTCGCATATTTGGTGCAGGAAAAGCGAATGAGCCGCTCAGCACCATTATATCACGCACCAGGCTCCGATGGTTGGGCCACGTGTTGCGCATGCCAGCACACCTACTTCCGCGACGTGCATTGTTTGCGCACCTGGGGTGCGGTTGGAAGAGGAGGAGCGGAGGCCGAGCATTGACTTGGTCGAGAGAGATGAAAACCCTCACTTGGAAGTTGGCGTCGGTTGGTGCATTCCTATTGTCTGGCTGGGGTCTTAAGGACGGTGAACACGTTTGGTTGGACACACTTGCTGACATGGCCAGGAGCCTACCCCAATGGCATTTGTACTGTGTGTTCCTTTGTCCATCCCCCTCCTGCTTAGCATCCCCCTCCAATCACGATCTCACTCGTTAGGCTTAATATAACTCTCTTTTTACGGCACGATAGCCAGCTGTTAGCTCTCCGGAACGATGTCCATCCGTTACTGGGGACTCAGCCGGCGTGCCACTGCTTTGTTTTCCTTTTCTTGTCTTTTGTATTGCGGCACAATAGCTGAGGTGTTTTCCACCTTCTGCTAACGCGTATAATGATGATGATGACTAGGTTTACTACAACCGACTGCAACTCGGATACCTCAGTGACACTTCGCTACGTATCTAGCGCGCCACTATGCAGCGAGCTAGTGGTCAGATAAACTTCCCATGTTTTGCAAATGATGCGAATACGAATGGTGTCTTCTCGGCTCTTTAGAAGCTCACTTGGTTGGAAATTTCCGACTCAGTTCCAAGCGCATCGACCATGACCAGCGTTTCTTGCAACTGTGCTTATCATCGGCTGTTTACAGGCAAGACCGCCCTCAGACATAATGGACGTCGGCGTGGCACGGCGCCCTCCCGCAACTAGGAGGCGATGAATTCGACTAACTAGGGTCCGCCGCATCCCAGACTGCCACCCGTTTTTGGAACACATGTCTCGACTCGGATGATGTCCTGATAAGCTGACAGTTTTCCTTCGGCTTCTCTTGGATGCACAGTACACAATTCCCCCGGTTGACAACTGATCTGTTACAACCAACTGTTTATCAACGCTAGTAAAATGTCCTGCACATTAAGCTTTCTCGTAGTAAATGCCGTGACATCAAGTTTCGGAGTCTCACGGTTTTTGTCACCATGTATAGCGAGGGGCATTCTGCTTTCTAGCTAGTCTGTCACCACAGCATCCAATACGGAATGCCTGATGGTCGAACAACTCGCTGTAAACCAGGAGAAAGATCTCTTTGGATGTTGAGCTCCACTAGTCCACTAAGTCGACCACTCTCCAACTCGCGGCCTAAAGGTCGACAAGATGATCTACTGTGCTCATAGGGCTCAGGAAGTGAAATCGATGGGAGCTGTGTTTGACTTCCAATGCTTATCTCAACTTACGTGCCCCGCATGTTCCAGTAGATCATCCTTCTGTATTATCAGGACAACCAGTGATATTATTCACAATAAGAAGCACCGTTTGGCTTGTCCTGTGGCGCATCTTTAGGAGCAGTTCATGTTGTCAGTAGCCCAGAGTGCTGTACTCGTTCAGTCGTTGCTTCGTTGTTCCTCGTAAGTATCCTTCCTTTTTTTGCTCCCCTGTTGACATTCATCGGAACGCTTATTGTAGACAAACAACTGGCCCCCCATTCTAAATTTCTACTTCTACTGTTCAGTCTATCCATTCCACTTCGCTTTTTTTCGCGAATACTCATTCCGTTACTATATGTGCTCTTCGAGAACGGACACACTCATTCTGCTTGCTATGTATCCAGTGACATCTCATCAGATCTTTACCGTTTTTATATGGGTTCATGCCTGTCTATGCTGCCCTCCTGAATTTGGTGTGACACAACATTCCTTCGGTTTTACTTGGTCAAAATATCACTCTACATCGAAATAATCGTACTCTAATCATGTTATTCCGCCTTTCAGGGGATGTCGCTTATTTGGTTTGGTTTCGCCTTTAATGTCTTTTACTGCTCGGTATGTGTATTGTACCTGATACTGATATATTCACCTTGGAGGTGCTTGTGTCGGCTAGCTCTATCTCGTTGAGCGTCGAGCATTCTCTGGACAATGGTTCGTTTGTCTTTCTTCGGTTTTACCTACATGTTGTTTACAGGCTATTCCTTCCAGCCATTGAAGCTGCTTATACTCGACCAGGCAACAGGAGGTGTGGCACTTTCCACAGACATCAATTCCAACCAATTAGACAAACTTGCTCTACTGGTTTGTCAATGGCCATCATAATCATCCCTCCTTAGAAGCTCACAGAAACAAATGATTTTTACTTTCTGCGCATCAAGTTATCAGATGGGTCTTACCTGATGTCTTCAGTATTGGCGGTTTTTATCACTTTTTCTAATGATCAACTTTGCTTCTTCACCGTATTAGTGTCAGATGCTTAGTTCGGATTTGCAACTCAAGCTCATAATTAGCGTAAACGACCGGGGTTATCCGATTGCTTTTCATCTGGCTACTCCACGATACAAATGTCTCCCATCTCATACTTTGACCGATTTGGTTCCAAATTTGCCACCTACATTGGGCATCACTCTCGCCGTTCAGAGGCCCGTGGTTGGCCCAACGTAAGTTTAAGCTTTTCCCTATTGACTCTCTGCAATCTAGTCCGGAGACTATCCGATATTTACAGAGGTTGGAGAAACAGCGGGAAGAGATGGCTCGTGCCGAAAAGGGTGACAATCGCTCATTCCTTGCCAAATACGTAAGTGAAATACACGCTAAATCCTCCGTCAAATTTCACCTCGTACTTTGTTACTTTGTCTCGTCCTCAGTATCAAATTCACAGATTCTGTCGGATGATTAGGTCCATACTGTCACCTCATCTGCTCCACTCTAATGTTTCTCTCAGTGCGTTTTCGTGGTTTACTTTGAAGAATTAAGGTGAATGAAGCTTCTCAGATCAAACCTACTTATAGTCCTTATGTCGGTTTACTAGTGTTTGTAACGTCCACCCCGCCGCAGCACGGCTACCTTAAAATGAGGACTTCTGCCTTGAATACTTCAACAATTTTAACACTGTGTATGACGGGCAAGTTAACTTAATTCCCATTATCTTAATCTTCCATCCTTTTAGACAGAGTCAGATGTACTTTTCTTCAAGTATTCTCACCATGACACTCATCTGGCCAAATTCTGTTCTCCATTTCTTCTAAGGAAAATTTTCACTCTATTATCAGTACCTCGCACTACTGTCATTCGACTGTTAAGTCATGATCACCATACTTCGGTCAGACGAACTCACACCGACGGCGTCAGCCCACCTGAGCTAGCTTACCTGTGCGGTAACCTACGTACCCGATGTGAACTACTGTCGGTACCTTAATCATTACGGTACGCTTCACTGACGGCATGCAATGAGGACGCTTTTATAATATGATGCCATATGCTCGTGTGAGGGCACTGCTTAGTTGTCCACCTTTTGGCCGTAATGTCCGTGTAGATATCAGTAGTTTGCCGGTTTATCGTACTGGTGTTTTGCTACCACGCAGCTGAGCTACTGCGATCTCGCTTTCTGCGCAGGCTCGAACTGATAACCCGTGCATTAATAGCCAAACTCTCGAACTACCCAACCACCCGTCGGCGATATCCCTAGAAGCCGCTGAACGTGATTCTGCGAGACAAATGTTGAGAATTTCTCGACTACCAGATTTTTCTCTTTTCCTTATCAATCCAAGATTAAGCAAGCGTGCCGTGCTGAACTTGCTGTACCTCTCACGTGCAACACGTTTCTTTCTTTCCTTTATTCTCCTCCATGATGGTCGAATTGACAGACCTGGTGACTTGCTGTTCACCACTCGCCTCCTTCTTGCAGTCTTTTTGTTGGTTCGGGTACACTATTTCACCACTAACCCGCTGTGGGCTGGCTATCGCCTGTCAATCTTCATTGGGGCTCATTCCTCTTAAAAGCAATCTATAAACTCCATTCCCTTGTACCTTATCTCGATCGCTCATAATAACGATCTCCCAGCGATCCCAGGCACTCATGTGGGGTCAGCAAGCCCCTCTATCATAGTTTCACCCGTCTATCTTACGCCCGTCTAACCGTAAGCGGTTATGTCTAACAAATCGAGGTTATGCAAACTTTGATAAAAGATGCTACCGGTTTTACTTTTTTATTTGTCGTCCATTATTTTAACCTCACCTCAAGCATACGTATATTTCCGGTTACAATGTCCTTATACAATCTTTCTTTTCGTTTTCAGTGGACCTACATCGTCCCGGCCGTGATATTGTTCATGATATTTTCCACTGTCCAAGATGCGAATGCTTCTGGTACAGGTGGCGGTCGACAGTAATTTTCATGACCCTTCACTATGCCGCTACGAGTGTGCAAATGTCTGTTCCCGGCTTGCCCAGCACTCAATTACTTTATTCCCTCTCTACTTACATATATGTCTTGCCTTGTTCCTATGCGTTATCCACATGAAGAAATCGACTGAATACTGTGCAAAACAACCCCGCAGGTCTTACTACTCTCCAGATCATTCATGCCTCTGAGCCACCTTGATGGGTTTGTCATCCCATGGTGTTCGTGTCGCTTAGGCATGAGATGGGCTTACCACTTTGTTAGGCCTATGACCAGCTTTCCATGGAAAAGGGGTGGTAGGAACGCTGTTCCCCTCCTCACACAAAGGGACTTTCGGACACATGCATTGGTTAAGGGCTGGAAATGGGCTAGCACCACAGCAAATCAACATTCGTAGTGTTACCATAGCTGCATCCGAAAATATGCAGCGCCCTCGCTTTCCCTGTTTCCTTCCTCTGTTTGTGGCGTGCTGTCTGAGTGTTGGTTAGTTGTTTGACCAAATGTTCGGTATGTTCTATTGTGTTACGAAAGCTCGAGAGGTGACGAAGGCTGCTATGGTTAAGCTTTATCGGCCTTTGTTCCTCACCATTGGATGCGCTGGGTTACTGAGCGTGACAACAACCCCGATCACTAATACACTCTCGAATCCCTTGACGTTGTGATTAGATCGGAAATTCCATGGGATATTTCAACTAGATCGCCATTGATGTTTCCTTTCCTGCCTTCTAATGCATCCAACAAGGAACGGTATCTCGAAGTGGAACGAAGCCATGGGATCTGGTGACTTCATCGCCAATGGAAGACAACGTCAACCCCGTGGCTTATCTACCTATTCTACTTGACTGTAAACTGCTGGGTATCAGTTGGGAAAATGGTATATTACGGGTAAAAAAAGCAATGTTTAACAAGTCCCATGGGACGGAAATTATTGCGAAAATAACAATTCATGAGAAAGTGAAAAGCGTTTTGGTGGTCTCACCATAGACTTATGTAGAGGAACGAAGATTTTCGCGTATTAAAGGTATAAATTCACTCTTTGGGAGTTTGGGAACACACCGTTCGATCGCGTTTTGTAGCCCCCTGCCTGGCGAGTTATAAAATGAAATGCAAATGAGATGACGCTTCGTCAATTCGTTTTTTGAATACCGTTAGATTGGGGGCAGTAACGACATAATTTGGGAGAGCATTCCTCGACTGACACACTCGGAGGGAAAAGCAATTTCTACGTCATTCAAGCCGGCTATACTGCGTTGTCAATTTCAGAGGATGACCTCTTAGGTTAGTGTTCTGGTTCAGTTCCAGCAGCGGACGGCAAATGAGGTTTGGATACTTCAGAATCTGGTAAACCATTATGAGACCGCCCCCCCCCCCGCAGACACCGATATCGACTGCTGTACATTCTCAGAGACTTCAGTCTAAGCTGATAGGGCAGATGAAATAGGCCCCTGACGTTCTTAATTGCCCTTCCTCGAGGAGTGTCGAGAGCAACGAGATCCTGTTTCTGCCACGGATGCCACACTTGGATGACACATTCCACGTGCGGTCGCACGTAGGCGTTAGGCTTTTGGAGAAGATTGAGGGGTCAAACCGACCGAACACTCTGCGAAGAAGGCTAAAGTGTTGATTGCCGGATCTCGACGCCTTCTCTTCCTATTTTGAGCATCCGAGATCTTGTACCAGTACATCCAGGTCACGCTCTTATGAGGCCTTCTGCAAGGTGTGGTCTCTAAGCTTACTTTCCGCGATCTACATCCATCACTTTTCTCCAACTCACTAACCCATGAGAATGCAAATTCCCTGAGTATACGACGACATGCCTGCTCTGCTAAAGTAGATTGCAACGGAGTTTTCTTTGACATAGAAGCTAACCGCATCTCATGCGGCACTGTTTTCCATTCGTGATAAGAACAGTCATTGGTGGCTCCGTTTCGGTCGTCCTCTCTGAAGTATACATTCTCCTCTGTATCCAACTGACAAATCTGGAATATACTGGCTAAACTACTCTCCTCTAGCTCGACACGCCTCATCTTTGGCGTATAACGTGGTATTCTTCGGTGTGTTCTACATGCACGATTAACGAGAGATCTACAGTCGTGGTTGGTCAGGCTGCGTTCTCTGCTAGTTGTGCCACCGTTTCTGATCGGGTCATCAAAGAAGAGGCAGTTCTTGTAAGAAAGACCATTTTCAGAACTTGCGTTTGTTTAGGCGCCTTAACACTATCCTATCCCATATGCAACCGGTGTGTTTGTATAGAAACGGAACACCCGTAAAACATAATGCTGCATTGCTCCGGCTGATTGGTTGTATGCAAACCTCGAAACTTATTTTAGGTACCGCGATTGGCGTAAGCACTCGTAAACCGAGATAGGATTGCAGCATTTCTTATTGCCGAACCGCCCGCGAGGCCGGTTTTACCCCCTAGTCATCTGTGCTTCTTTGACCTACCGTTATGGACGAGGCAATTTACGAGAGACGTTATAATAGTGACCACTTCGCCCATTCGGGAACAGCTTCATCTGTGAACTGAAGTAAACAAGATCGCTTCACTACCACATACTTACGCGAGTGATTTCCATGTGCATACAGTTTGCCACCGATATCTACTTTATCTCCGCTAGAGGATACGATTTGCTTGCAACTTTTGCTCTCTCATCTCACGATATGAATCACTATCCACTCGGTTTATCACACGTAGGACCAAACAAGAATGGGTGATAAAGCTATCAGGCAAGCGGCAGTAAAGTCCGTTAGTGAACACGTCTTCGCGAGCCTCGCTATGTGTTTGTCAACTGGAACTCGCTCAAGCAGTCCAGATGAGCCAACTGTGCTGATCGCTTTCGTGCCTATTTTTCATCCACCGCTACCTCCGAGTCATGCGTCACTCTACCCAGAGGACAGCAGTCAGTCCCTCCTGCGAGTAGTGTCCACTTATGGGAACCACCTGCTTTTTCTTCCTTGAAGTTACTATATCGCATCTTAAACAATTCACGTCGCCCATTCCTATTCGCCACAAGCGTACGTGGTTCATTTTTACTTACTCGGTGATGTTAGCCGATGCTGCAATGTCGTGCACGCACCGGTGACTAGACACCATTGAGGGATTGAGAATGAGTCACACAAGACTATACCGGAGGCTGAGACGCACCATCGTTCCGTACTCCGTGGCTCTTGCACCATACGATATACTACGGTACCTGTGACTTATAAATAAATTGATTTACTCTAAAATTCTTCGAGGCACACCAAATAAGGCATGATCACTTTTCCTCACGCGCCCTTTGATCAAAACAACGTCCACAAGAAACTCAAAAGATTATAGGCAACCAAAGCTTGTGGTCCGGATGCTCTCACAACATTAGCTTTGAAGGTATGTGCTGATTCTCGTACACTGCTTCCAACAGACCTCTTTAACAAATGCCTCACTACGGGTGAGATCCCGGACATTTGGAGAACAGCCAGTATCACTCCAGTAAAAAAAACTGGATCTCAAAACTATCGCTCAATCACATGTACATCTGTGCTCCTAAAAGACTGTTAATTCCGCGGATTTTTTAACTTCTCCTGAAGACGATATCTACCAGTTTGCGTATAGACCCCAGCGCTCCACCTTGGATGCAACGGCATATGTTGTTCATTCTATAGCCTTTGCATTAGATCAAAAATGTAAATCCGTACGGCTTCTCTTCCTGGATTATTCGAATACTTTTGGAAGCCTGGATAGGCCAAGGTTGTTAAACCTGCTATCGGAAAATGAAGTTCATTCTGGTGTGTGTAATCTGTTACCTGACTATTTTACAAATCGTACTCACTTCACCAAGTTGAACGGTAAGAAATCCTCTGTCCTCCATGCCGAATGTGGTGTTCTACAGGGAGCGATCCTATCACCTCTATTTTCCTTGTATGTTGAACATCTCCCTATACAAACCACGTTTATATTGTGCTGCTGATGCGCTTGAATGTTTCCCAACTAACCAGGATTCCTCATCACTTTAACGTGGGTTGGGAGATCTGGTGGAATGGTCTTCACCCAGATCTCTTGCTCTTAATACTTCTAAATGTAGGGATGTAATATTTCCTTTTCTATGTGGCAAAAAGTTGCAGTCCCTCATCGCTTTCTCCCCCACACTTATTGGGAATGAAAATCCCATACCCAGCTCTTCCACCGTCAAGTATTTCGACGAATTTTTGTCCTAGTACCTTCCTTAGTCCATGTCATGTTAGGCCGCATGCATGTGGACTAGTGAGGCCTCCGTAGTGGCTACTGTCGTACTGCTTCACCGCGCGGGCGTAAAATCTCCGGCCTCTTCTTTTAATCGGATTTATTGATACCTCATCACACGTGTGCTTACACTCATTCGATCCAGCTTCATCATCGATATTTAGTGCATTCCATCTCTTGGATCTAACTGGGGTGGATTATCTGTAATCTCAACGTCGCAGTTTTCTCACCGTTTCCGCAGAAACATAATCGAAGGATTTTTCGAACTCCGGACCACAGCAATATTTGTGGTCTCAAACGAAAGGCAACTCAGAGATCTATACGACGAGCCTTCAACCACTTTTATCGATCACTAAGCGATTGAGCTATCCGACATTCTATATCCCATCGTTTACTCGCTTCACTTAAATCTCATAGAGGTTAACGAAAAATCTATCCATCCGCTTAATCTCAGTCTGCCAGCCGTGAGCGCACCGAACGCGTTGCCCTTGAAACTACGACGACGACATGGCAACCACACCATTGACCCGAAAGGCATCGATCAACGCAGTGGTTTTTAACGACCAATCAATAGTTGTCCCTTATTCCCCACCAAGGCCGACAGTAGTATGTGGCTTTTCTTCACTCACGGCAATTCAGTGTTCAAATTGACGCATCAGGTTTCATTCTAAATGTCCAAAGCTCACAGTAAAGCAGTTGAAGTTACCTAGTTATATACTAGATTCTCTATGATTCTGTGAAGTATGTATGGTCATCCCACTGGTAAAGATTATGCATGAACTAGCACAGAAACACGAGAGACTGGTGGCAATGATTGAACAAATGAGGAACACCAAAGTTGCTTCATTTAGGGAATGGTTGACTGTGAGCAAACCCCAGTCCTTTCTGTTAGGCTCCGCTGCAAAACTACGGCAGAATGCTGGTCAGAGCATTAAAAATGCGTCCTGTGTGGCTTTAGAACTCAATATCACCAGCTGCCCAAATATGTCTAAAACAACCACCGCCAGTT